AATCTGTTTGTTCAAAGGATTAATTTATGATTAGGAAATTTACTTTAACTCTGAACCTTTGACTCGTTGATGCTTTGATGGTTTATCTTTCTGAAGGGAGGACAAGAAACGGAGACAAAGTCAGCAAAGAAGAAAGAAAGTGGAGACGTTATCTTTTAACTGAACTGAATTAAAGCTCAGATGAGGTGAAGGTGACAGCTTGCACCGATGTTCTTAAGTGAGACACCGATTAGATCCCGACAGCTGACCCTAACTCCACCCCTAAGGTTAAAGGTCACTGTTGATCTCCTGTCGGGGTGCTGCAGACCTCAGCTGTGGACTTGACCCGAGTCTCCTCCGGGCTTTAACATTGTGGGTGGCAAACACACACATACTCACACACAAGGCTTGTTGAAGACGTTGGAAAACTCTCAGAGGGTTAATCCAGCAAAACACTGAATTTACACTCAGATTAACAGCCTTCCAGAAAGCAATTCCATCCCTCCAACAGCTACCACAAAAACAAAAAAGAAACACTCAACTATGGTGGGCAGCAGAAACGATAAAACTCTTAGTCGCTCCATTTACACCGGAATGTATCTAAAGCCACAATTTAATGTATCCACTGTAATCGCAGCAGATCTGCTTTAAACTGTTACAATGAGGAAATCTGATTCAAAGACCCTTTGGTATTCCAGCAGGTTGCAAAGGTGCAAATTTTGATCACGTGACCACCATTAAAGACACGTAAAGAGTGCACAACACAGGTGACCACACACACACCAAAAAACCCCCAAACAATTTATGAAAAAACTGACAGAAAAATGATCTTTCCACATCCCTGCTTCTAAAAACAGGCATTTTCTTCAGCACAGGCACTTTTACTCATTTTCTTCCAGTTATTTCTTTTTGTTCAGCTGGCTTTGAAAAATGGATTTAACCGTTTTTAAAAGAATAACACTGATATTAATAATAAAGCGCCAATAAAAAAAAGCCCAACCATGCAACTGTAAAATACACTGGCACTAGTACATTTTACATTTGTTCACTAAAAACAGGTGCAGCAAACGTTCTGAAAACATTAAACAGTTTGTAATACCACTGCTAAAGTGTACGCAGCGATCAGCTGGCAAAGCAAAGCAGCGCCTCCCGTTAAGTCTTAATAGCACATGCACGGGACTTTAGTCTGTTTCAGAGGCTCGGCTAGTGTTGGCAGTCAGGGCTCTGATATTGGGAAATGATCTACTGAGGAAAGATCAGTGGAGTCACTGACATGATTTAATCAGATTTAGTGGAGATAAAGTCATTGAGAGTTCAGCCATGTGCTCTGTTTGAACAGGAAAAACCTGCTAACATCTGCGTGGGCTTGATAGACCTTTTCCAGTAATCTTTAGGGGTTTTCCTCTGAAATGAGTTTCTTTGCATCCCTAAAAGTGTTTGAAGCACAAATTAAAATAGATAAAAATTACTATGAAATGATTAGAAATAACATGATAAAGCACCGGTTTCTGTCAAATAAGGAAATAACCAATGCTGTCAGTGTACACAGAGCAACCATTGTCAAAGCCACGAGTACTTACTCCACCAAAGTTAAATTCTTAGCCAAGGTGATGGTAAGGCATCTGATAATTGCTACGTATCAAAGACAGAAATCTGACAGCGTCTAGTTATAAATCAACAACTGACGTCAGTAATTTGGTGCCAAATAACATTTTGCTTAACTTTCTCACATCAATAAATAGTAATAAAGGTGAAATTATGACATATGTTAAAGTGCAGAATATTAAGGATTACTCTGGAAGTACAGCAGGATGGTGGTTCTGGTAAAAGACTGGAACTCAAAGATCTGCTACTGGGAACCAGACAGTCTACCTTTGTTTGAGTTTTCCAAACAAAAATCCTCTTTTCACTAAACTACTTACCTCAATTTCTCCTCCATTTCTCTGCGGCTCTTTCCTCGAGACCATTTGCACCACCTCGCTTTGGTTTTACGTCTGGCACATCAGCACGCTAGCTAACAGCCAGCTGAAACAACTTTTTTTAAGCAGGCCAAAGTTTAAGGCTCTTTAGTCACTTCCTAAATTTATTAGGATACCAGCCTGTTTGAAAATTATGTGAATTGTGATACATTAAGGAAGTCGCAGATTTTTCTTCTCTCCACAGAATTAGCAGCACATGTCAACTTTGCGGTGGCCATGACGGATGCAGCCAACGTCTTCAGAAAGTTAAATAAATCTGCCAAGACAGCAGCGTTATTCATGCAGCTGCTGTCATTCTACGAAAGCTTTAAATGATTCTAATGATGATGAATGGGAACTCCCTGCACGCAGATCCCTTTAGAAATGTTTTCTTTAGCTAATCTTATTTAATGGATCAACATCTCCTGCTGCATCCAAATCACTTCAATCTGCACATCAGCAGGCGACTGACTGGAGGTTCAACTGTGGGGAGGCGATGGAGGAGAGAGGTAAACCCAGGAAGATGCTGTGTGGTCTGTCTTTAAAGGGATCCAGTTCATATTTGGGTAGAAGATTGATGAGAAAATTTACAGCTCAGATTTAAATACAAACTGTGTAAGTACATAAAATTGATTTGATTGGTATATTTGAATAAGGGAACCAAAGGAAACTTCTTCAGTCATCCATTCTCCGTATCAGTTCATCAGTGTTGTGCAACCAAGAGTTTGCAGTTCATTTCCAGTTTGAGAGCTTTGTGTTGTTTCACTTTTACTTTTGATTTCTTTATTACATTTTATCTGAAAGAGATGATGCATTTAAAATAGTTTCAGTATAGAGCATAAAACCTACGCAAACGGGGACGCAACCGATTCTAAAATGCTTAAATGCAGTCGCCCCAAAAACCCAACAGCATGCAGCTCGACCTGGGTGTGTCGGATAAAAGCTGATTGGTTGAAAAGAGGGGCAGAACAGGAAAGAGAGGAACAGCAGAGTTTACAAATTGGGGGAAGTATGGGGAAAAAACAAAGCTAAAAATAAGTGTCAGCAGTAAACACGTTTCACGGTTTTTAAACACTCAGTTTCACTTCAGTGTGCGTTATAAGTTCACTGTACTCTGCAGCAGGCTGAAGGAACAACAACACCACGATAAAAAAGCACACTGCAGCGAGTACACGGCTACAACACGCAACCTGCAAAGTAATCGTATGACGACCGCAGAACCCGTTCAAGATACTAGAAACAAGACTTTTCTCACTATGATGTGACATCACAGCTTCAACGCCAAAAAGCACCTTGTGAGTATCGCAGGGCGTCAAATCTGCGAGTGAGAACAGACTGACCTTCCACTGAGCACAGTTGGTCTTAATCCTCTTTTCCACCAAAGTGGTGCTGTGACGGCAACTGTAGAAAACCAATCCACACGTTAAGGTCTGAGAATCAGCAGCATGCAGAGGTGGATTTCTTGTGGTCCGCCCTCCTGTGGCTACCAGTGTTGATGCTTCCAACAGTTTTGGCACAAACACTGATCTGAATGTTGTTGGCTTCAGATTAGGAACCAACACCAAAGTAAGAAGCATATTAAATTAAAGAGTGAGAAGACAGAGACTCTTCTGGTTGTAACTAAAAGTCTGTTTGTAAACGATTGGTTGGGTAATTCTCTTTGTATCATCAGTTCTCTGATCTCTCCTTCATCCCAGGTTAAGATGTCAGTCGAGTTTTCGATACCACCTTAAATTTTGAAACACATATCAATAATCACAGCCTGGATATTTCTGCTTATGTAATATCAGTCGGTTGTGTCCGTCCCTCACAGCTAGCAGTACTGCTATTCTTGTACATGTGCTGGTTACATCTTAGATTGATTACTGTAATTCTGTCCTCTCTGCTTTACTGCACAAAAGTCTCCATAGACTTCAAATCGTTCGAAACTGTTTATGTCATTTCTTGAACATATAACTGCTGTGCTCCAGCAGTTTGATTGGAAGCCTGCAAAATATTGTTTCATTTAAGATTCTGCTTCTGATTTTGAAGCCTCTTCATTACCTCTGATGTGCACATCAGTATTCCCTCCTGTAGATCCTCCTATGTTACCCTCACTTTACCACGAGATTTAAAGATTTCACTTTTTTCTCTCTCTTGATTTGTATTGTTGACTTTGTAATTTTATGATGTATTGATGTAAAGTTACTTTTTGCGTCCTATGATTCAGAATGATGATTCAGTCAGCAGCCCGTACTTTGAAAAAGACCAAAGCTATGATCTGTGATGAAAGAAAAACTGGGAAAGTGGTAACATGATAAGAAATGTAATGGATGAATGCTTAATTTCATCATACAGCAAGAATTTCTGCATCAATCCTGCAGCACAAACGTGAGATAATGGAGGAACAATGGCATTACAAGTGCTCAATTACAGCGCTGACTGCGCAACCAAAGCTCAGCTGAAAGTAGATTAGATTAGACAGAATTGTAGTTTGTAAGGACAACAGAAGGGAACACGCTCATTGTTTTTCTCCTGATTGGAAGCAGACACCACATGTCCCAGAGTGATTACCTGGAACTTTGATCTCTGGCCCACAGATCACCACACACCAAAACCTAAACGGTTTCTGCTGAAAATCACACAGCTGCTGGAGCTCGAGCGGTGTGTGTCGGAGGAATCCCGAGTTGCTCTGACATTACCACTCACTGGATGGTTTTCATGCTTTTCTTCCTATCAAAGAGTTCAGTGCTCCATGATAACACACCCATCATCATATGTGGTAACACAAATACACACACACATTCTCTTGATACTTGCAGTCTCTAATCACCGTGTTATTTTGAATCCACTGTTATGAATGTACCCATTGGTATTATGTTGTGGTATTTGTGGGAAAACACAAGAAAAGAAAGTTCCTGTATAGTTTTCCAGATGTTTTCTGGTGAATACTTTCATTTCTCCCGATTTAATCAGGATCGTAAACACAGTTTTCTTTTCCCTTCCTCAACATCTGTTATAAATCTGTAACTTTATGTTGACGTGACCTTTAATGGAAAGATAAGAAGCCAGTTTGTGTCTTACCTTCTGCAGCCACTGTGTGTTGTTCTCCATCGTGCTCTCCAGGTGTTGCAGTTTCTGAGCCGACCATTCGCTGTCAGCAGGCGGCGAGTCTCTCTGAACGACACCCGGCCCGCCCTGAAAGCCACCATAGTGTTGCGTCTGTGATGGCGACCCTCCACCGGGGCATCCGTCCAGCTCTGGCAGGATGAAGGTGTAGCTGCACTGGCCGTGCTGGATGCGGTGCAACTTCCTCCTTTTCTCGCCGGCGCCGCCACCACTTCCTCCTCTCCTTCTTCCAGATACTCCTCGTTCTGCGCTGCCTGCATCAATGACAGCTGACAAAGTCCAAAGGAGCAGAAGGACCAGCAACCCCCGGCTGAGACTTAAGCCTTTCATGACACTCTCTTTAATTATATGAAAGTGTTTATTTCTCAGTGCAGAAGAGGGTCAAAGGAAGCTCATTCACACTCTGACCCCGATTAAGTTTAGGAAAACGTCTGTGTGCAGGATAAGAACAAGAGTGTCAGCACAGTCTGTCGTTAGTTTGATCTCTTCTGTTTCAATCACAGTTTTTGGAAAAGAAAGCCGAAAGCATCTCTGGCCTCACACTGAATGGTCTCCTTCATTTGTGGTGACGATGTCCAAGGATTCCTCCCTCCTCTGTCTTCGTTGTTTGGTCGTAATCGTGTTTTCTGAGGCCGGGTTCTTCCAGGTAATAAAGACTTTTTAGGGCTCATATATTAGCTCAACTGATCAGCTGTTGCATGTTTTTTCCTTAAGGTATCAGGTGCAGATCCAGATCCACTCTGCAAAAAATATGGAAGAACCCAAAGCTACAAATTTAAAAGCAGAAGTAATGTGAAGATGATGAGCAGTTGTGTCCAAACAGTCTGTGAAGCTGAAGAGCTAAATATCTTTGTACTCCCACTCTTCTCTGGTGGCTCCAGTTTTAGAAGTGGCTGAAGGGAATTGCCTCTGCCCCCTTCTTATCTGCGCTGGCTGAGAAGAGGAGGAATGAGAGAGAGAAGAGGGGAGAGAGGAGGGGGGAGAGAGAGAAAGGACAGAGGAGGAGAGGGAGGAGTGGACGGACAGGAGACCTGAGGGAGGTCTGTTAGAGTACCCTCTCTCTGTTAGTGGGCTGAGACGAAATGAAAGGAGGAAGGAAGGAAAGAGTGAGAAGTAGCCAGAAAAGAAGAAGAAATGTGAAGATTAAGGGAGTGAAAAAGATAAGGAATACAAATGCTGAGAAAGACAAAGTTTGAAAAGAAACTTAACTGCTGACAGACAGAGAAAAGACACTGAGAAAGAACGCGATAGAAGAAGAAAGAGAGATCTAAAAGAGGCTCCTGTAATCTTCTTTCCTGACTGATCTCTCAGTTCTGAAGAAAATCCTGATGCCTTGTATGGTCATTCAAACGGAGCTGGCAGCCAGAGGCAGCACATTTCACTTTGTCCACTAAACACAACCATGCTTGGGGACATCGTGGGACATCAGGAGGCCAAGGAAACCCACGCAGTCTACGTACTTAAAGCTGAAACGCTCTCAGTCGCAGGATGTACCTCCTCAACGCCTCTCATCTGTCCACATGGAAACACATACAAAGATTAGTTCCAGACTGATGGCTTTGTCCCAGGATGATGAAACACAAGCTCTACATGTGGCGGGACAATGTGCGCTGTCAGTTAGAGAGTTTATTTGCACAGTGACAAACTGTTTTGCAGAACGCAGATAAAATTCTTTGATACGAGCCACGAGACAAACAGATTTCTGCGAAAGAATGAAGCTTCCAAAACAGGTTTAGAATGGCAGCTCAGCGTTAGGCGATCAAAGATTGAATGATTCTGTTTTGAAGACTGTGTTTCTGCAAAGATAAAGAGCTGCTCCCAACATCTTACCACCGACAAGTTATTTATTTTGACATAAAGCAGTCCTATTTTCAGCCCGGCCTGACCCTGACCCTGAGCCTGGTGCACAGAGCTGCACAACATAGAAGAGTCCTCTAATTGCATCATTTCTGTTTATGTTTTAAAAGGAAAATGTTTTTTATTGTGGGATTGTTTCGGTCTCACTTATTCTCATTCTTTTATTTCATCTGCTTTTCTGTCTGCTCATGTATGGTACAGGTTTTTATTACGTTCTCATTTATTCATGGACAGATTTTGTTTATTCGTGATGAACTCTGACCCAAACAAAGCTGTAAAAAATGCTAATGGTTGATGAATACCCCTGAAAAGCATGATGTTTCATATAATCCTTATATTATCCTCAATATGTGGTGTGATCGCAGTCAGGGAAAAATAATAGAGATACATACAGTGCTGCCCCTAAATTGCTCTCGCTTTCAGTTTAATATTAAATAATAAACTAAGTTATTAGAGAGGAAGTACTGTGGCTGTTTATTCAGAGCATGCAAATCTGAGAATTAGCACATCTGCACAACCCTGATTGTTTTTTTCTTTCATGTCACTTGTATTGATCAGAGTTTGGTGCTACACTTGCTAACTGATTTTCTGTCTCACTATCTGCTCCAAACAGTACATCTTATCACATACTGATTAGATCTATTAATCAATGTAAACACTGTGGACACTGATCTTTACTTAACCCTCATCCTATTGACATATTTTACATACATACTGGACCACAGACTGGGTTTAGTCAGGACCCCAAGAATAATTGACTGTGAGACACAATCATAATAGAAAAATAAAAATGATAGCACAT